AACTGGCACGGGTAGGCTTAGCTGCTTCCCCCACACACCAGCTGCTGTCACGCCGACCCCGACCAGGCGACCCCATGTGCATCACGGGGTTTTCAAAGGCTGATTTTTTGGAAGTACATCGTCAGGCCTTCCTTCCAAGGCATGTCTGAGTGAACTCAAGTCTCCAACCTGCCGGCTAGCAGCCGAACGCATCTACCCTTCCCACCACCCAGGGTCTCTGCTTCATTTATAAAATGGGCTAATGAGACTTCTCCCATCAGAAAATAAGGGATCACATCAGACTTGTTTGACAGCTCTTCCGGGTACACATCTAGGTAGCTCTCCAATGATACCTCGTTACCGTAAGACGACTCAGGGGTCTCTTAACACCCCCTCAAGCTACCCCCAAATCAGTCTGTGAAGTACAAATGGGTTGTATAACTATTCAATTACAATTTTGTCTACAAAAGTACTATTGGAAAGAATGATTATTTAACATGCCTCCATGTGTTGCTTCGGTAGCTTTTGGGAAAGGAATGATAAGGCTTGGATTCAGCACAATTCTGGCAGGGGCAATAATGTGCACTACCCCACCCCACCCCACCGTGACACACTGGTTAAGTATTTGGCTGATAACCAAAGGGTCCCCTGTTCAAACCCACCAGCTGTTCCACGGGAGAAAGATGAGGCAGTCTACTTCCGTAAAGATTTCAGCCTTTTCTAGAGGGTCGCTATGAGTCGCAATCGACTCCATGGCAGTGGGTTTGGTTTTTGGGGTCTGGTCTCTATCATAGTGCTCTTTCTTCTCTTTAAGTCATCGTAAGTGGACACTTTTTCCCTCATCCTTTCCTAATAAAATGACAACTAATTACCGGCTGTGGGCAAGCATCACGGACAGGTTTGCAAGATGCTGTCAATACATGGGGAAAGGAAATGCAGACAAAAATCAATCCCACTGGTAGCACCACGTGACTAAAAAGTGTGTGTGTGTGTATGTGTGTGTGTATGGGGGGCAGGATTTAGTACAAAAGTCCCAAACTATCCTGAGTGCTCCCCACCATCTAAGAAAAGACACAGTTCAGCCACATGTTGTTGTTGTGTGCTGTCCAGTCGGACCTGACTCATAGAGACCCCTCCTTGGGTTTCCGAGGCTGTATCACTATGGAAGTAGATTGCCTAACCTTCCTTCCGAGGAGCGGCTGGTGGGTTTGAACTGCCAGTCTTCTGGTTAGTAGTCAAGTGCCTTAGGCACTATGCTACCAGAGCTCCTGTTCAACCACATGGGAGTAGCCATAAATACGAAGCAGCAGTTTCACCAGTGCCAGTCGACCCCGACTCCCGGTGAGCAGTTGGCACTGTACGTCTGAGTGCTGTGCTTCGGACGGTTTTCAATGGATTTTTCTTTTTTTTCGGAAGTCGATTGTCAGTCCTTTCTTCCAAGGCACCTCAGGGTTAACTTTAACTGTCAACCCTTCAGTCGGCAGCTGAGCGTGTTAAGTGTTCACACCACCCAGGGACTCCAAGCAGCAGTGTAAGGGAGCGACTGTGGCCATCTTGGCCTGATGAGCAGCATAGCGTTTTGTTTTTTTCTGCAAAATCCTGCAGCACCGCCTGGAAAAGCTGAGCATATACCACGCTACCAGTGCAGCCACAAAAACTTTTGAAAAATAAAAACCTTAACTACCTTGAGAGGCAGAATCAGGAGCAAACCATCCCATCGGCATTTCAAAAGTCCACTGGGTTCTACTGCCAACCTAACCTCTGGTGTTTCATTGCTATTCATGAGGCTTTCACTGGCCAATTCTTTGAGAAGTGGATGGCCCTTTCCTTCAGCGAAGAAAGGGAAGGCCCTCAACGACATGGATTGACACAGTGGCTGTCACGATGGGCTCAGGTACAGTGGGCATTGTGAGGCTGGCAGAAAACCAGGCAGTGTTTCATTCTGTTGTACGTAGGGTCGCTGTGAGTCAGGGCCACCTTGATGGCACCTAACAAAAACCACTACCACCTCTGGTGTTTCTAGAATGGGGACCTCTAGGGCAGGGAGGACAGGAGCCACGGAGAATACACCTGGAGTTTTAGGGTTTGGGGTACCTGTAGTGAGGATCAGGGGTTCTGTGACCACATTCTCCAGTTTCTGATGAAACAGCTGAATTGAAAAGTGACCTCCAACTTCCTTAGCCTGTGTGAAAGCCAAAAGCAAGGTGCCATCTCCAGGAATGTTTTACAGATCATTCCATGTGCACAGAGGCAAAGGTCTGAGGAACGGGTGTGGAATCATGCTTGTAACTCTTTTTCAAGAAATGTGAAATGCTAAAGAGCTGAGCAACTTACCTGATACCTTTTTATCTTTGGCCATCATAATGCTCCCTAAAACTATTATAGACTAGGCGCATGCTAGGTGCTTCCACAAATATACAGGAAAGGGCCCTAGATGAGCAAGGGGTACACCTTTCATGACTGCTCACCATCTTCAAAGAATCGAAATCTGATAAAGGGTTAAGGTCTGGGAGGTCCCAGGGAACTCAAACAGTTATGCATTCCACCAGCCCAAAGGTTGACAGTTGCAACCCACCCAGAAGCAACTTGGAAGACAGGCCGGGTGATCTGCTTACGGAAGGTCACAGCCATTGAAAACCATATGGAGCGACTCTACTCTGCACACATGGGGTCGCCATGCGTTGGACAGCAAGTAACAACAACAACATACGCATTAGGGTAAACGTATAGCATTAGGGTAAATGCATAACAAAACTACCACCTGTTTTCTGAGCTCCACATCACTTCAATCCACATATATTAAACAAACCACAACCAAAAAGTTGCTAGTTTTGTAACTAAAGAAACATAAACAGAGATGATATAGAAAAGTTTAGTTCACTCTTGCTATGCGGACAACAAAGCCAACCATTTCCCAAATTCATTACCAGTGCGGCCATGAGTCTCTTATTTCCTCCTGCTGATGGGAGGCAGGAAAGCAGTAAGTCACCTTCAAAGGCCTCTAGTAGCTAAGAATTCTACATTTTAAAGGGAACTTTGTTCCTAGGAATGGCACAGCCCAACCCTTTCCAGACAAACTGACCAATAGACACGTTTAACCCTAAGAAAACATGGGCATTGGTTTGTTGCTTGTTTGTTTTAATACCTTTACCCAGTTTGGCTGTTAAATTTCAAAGTTTCAGAACGATTTTCAGTTTTGAAACAAGAGAATTCAAAACTCTAAAGCAAATCCCACCCAACCGCCCCCCCCAAAGAAAACAAACCCCATTCCTGATGAGCTACATGAGGGCTTTCCTTCTTATTACTGGACTCAGGCCCCACTTTCTAAAGAACGTTTAAAGTTTCCGCAGGTAGCACGGCGCCATAGCTCCGGGCTGGAGCCAAGCCCGTAAATATTGATGGCTGATGGGAATCGAGAAGCGGGCCGGCGGCCGCTGCGGCTCTGGGTTTCGCGGTGACCAGGGGCGCGGGTCAAGAAGCAGGGCCGGGGACACTAACGAGGCCACCCCAGGCTCGAGGGGATGTCTCTGACCTGACCTCTGCGCAGGCCGCAGGTGCAGGCCGCTGCGGGCACCGCCGGCGTGACAGGGGGGCCTGGCAGGCCCCTTCCCGAGGGGGAGGGGGCGGGGACCCGGAACAGGAGCCATTTACCTGGGAGCGGCCCGGGGCGCGCGGACAGCACCCTCTGCGCCCCGCAGGTGTCCGCACCCTCGGGCTGTCACACTGGCCTTACCTTGGTGATGACGAGCGGCTCGCCGTGCTCGCGGCCACCCTTCAGAGTGAAGCCCCACGGGGCGCCGCCGCTCAGCTGCACCTCCACCAGTCGCCCGCCGTCAGCCTCGGCCAGGCGCTCGGGCCGCGCGCGGGGCTCGGCGCTCTCCATGGCGCCCGGCCCAGCCCTTCGGGAACCCTGGAGCCGCGAGCCCGCCTGCGGCCGACCAAGGCGAGAACCTCCGAACCCGCGCCTCCACCAACCCGAGGAGAACTTGCACCGCAACTTGGAGAGAAGTGCCGGCCGGGCAGGATGGAGCCCAGGAGGCGGGCGCCGGGGGCGGGCCGGAGGGGCGGGGCGCGCGCAGGGCTCCAGCCAGACTCTCGGAGGTGGAGGGC